ACTACCGATTAGAACTCGGTTCTAACTCGAGCAATTGTGACGGGGCCGGTTGCCTAGGATCAGTATTCATCATAGAGTATATACACACAAAATTTCAGCTGTCTAGCTCTTATTATGACTGAAGTTCAGGGGGCTAGGAACTTTTGGCCAGCACTGTAACAAGAACAATCGCACGTACATGAAATCATAATGGAATATTTTAGAGAACATGAAAAATAGAATATAAAAAATGCTGACAAATGTAAGGATCCAGTTAAAAAAGACACTAAAATAGTGACAATGAAAAAAGCATATATATATATATTAATACGATAAATCTAAATTAAGTCTTTATTTTTATTTTGAAAAAATAATATTTTCCTATTGTATCGTATTTATCAATGTTTTCTTGTGTCAGTTAGAATTTATTGTTAAAAGCAGACATATACTATATTATAAGTTATTCAATTCGTCTAGGTAAAATTAACTAAGCAATTAAGCTAATTAAAAAAGTTCGAATAAATCGTACAAATTCTTTATTTCATTGTCACATCAATTATTCTAAATTTTCAATCAGATTGATTTATTTACTTTGATCAAGATCGTGTTTATTTCAAGTAGGAAAAATTTCTTGTTTAAATTCTAAAAGTTGTACAGATCGAAAATAATTCAAATCTATATAATTTTTATTGATACAAAACATAACAGTTGATATAATGAAAAATATAATTGAGTTTGCAAAAAAGTGAAATTACGAGTATATTATTGAATAAAACTGGTGAAAGTAAGAAGTTCGTCGTGAATTGTAGCAGTAACAGAATATAGATATGTTTAGAGAACAAAATGACAGAAAATCGATGGTTAATTATCATAATATTTTTGTTTCATTGTATGGAAACTTGATATTCCTTGCTTTATAAGTTTATTTTACGACTCGACTCACTAGTACTTTGAAAACAAAGTTCATCGTTACAGTTACATAGTTGCTAATGTAACGAAAAATTTCGACGTTTATTTATTGTTGAAAGAGTACATTGGAAAATGAAGATGAATTACAACTAATTAAAAATGAGTACTAATAATGCCTAGTCAAAAATGAAATTTGTAAGAGCATCTAACTAATCGATTTTTAGCTTTCGCACTAGAATGAAATTAATTTTTTAAAAAACGTTCTTCCTTCAATTTTTTATAAAAAAAAAGAAGAAATATGAGTGTGGGGTGTGCGGATTTGCTTCATCATATCTTCGTCTAAAATAATCAATGGAGTAACTTCTTTCGAATAGACTTCCCATGAAACTATTCATTTTGTTGAAAATTTCCGTTCTTGTTTAACGACATCCTTTAAATCAATCTAGCCACAGTTAATGACCTATACGAAGTTATTTTTTGATGATTATACATATCATCGAAGTCAAACATATTTTTATCAGAAAAAAAGAATTTATCACTGTTTGTTCGTTTTTGAAAATGATTTCGTATTTAATTGGCAAACTAAATTCTCCCAATGAGACTTATTGTTTTAGGTTTTAGATGATTTATTGAGTTTTTCCATGTTTTCTTTTGTTCGAATATAATCTTCGGCATTCTAATGGGCGTGTTAGATGAACAGAGACTGTTTAGTGTCAGACAAAAGTAAATAATTGAGTTATAGTAGAAATAATAACTATGACATTTTGAATCATCTGTTAACAGCTGAGGTACGAAATTTTCTAGATAGCATGCTCCATTGTTTTTCGATCAATCATAATAGCCAGCAAAAATTTAAAAACATGCATCAGACTCAGAATTTTATGGTCAGAGTTTCTGTAGGATTCATAGATTTTCAATTATGAGCGGATTTTCGAAATGCTCGAAAATGAAGTTCGGATGCGCAAAACACCATACAAGATAGAAGTCAAATTTATCCTAAACACACCAACAGAAAGAGTAAATATTCCTCTACAAAATAATATCTTAATCATAAGTTATCTATGAGACTTCTATCAGTAATGAGAGTTTTAGTAAAAGAAACAGTGAAATTTTCGAAAATCCTTTATTATCAATATTACAAAATGAGCTCAATCGTTTATTAAGGATTGTCTTGTTCTTAACACTTTCCAAAAATGATAAAAAATATTCTAAAACATGATGTAATAAAACACTATGACGTTGGATTAAGCTATGTTGAAAGTCGTTACAATGCAAATAAGTATATGCCGAAAGACATTACTGAAAAACAGCATGCAATCAATTTCAAATATAGTGCGATCAGGGTATGGATGTTCGTACTTTCTTCTCTCGTACCCACACTCAGACCCACTATTAGAAACAGTCTTTTACGCTGATTATAAATTTTACAGTTTTTTTCTGAAAAACAAATTTGGTTATTCAAAATTACGCTTTTTACATACGAGCAATTGGAATACCCTAACAAAGAAACTATGTGAGATTACCTTGAAGAGATTTTTCCACGGGATGTCTATGTGGCAATATTTTATTTAAGAGCATTTTATTTTAGATTTATAATATCGAAAATGTTCGTTTTTATATTAAAAATTGAAAAGAAGATACATCAATTATTCTCTTTTTAGCTATTCATTTTTAATGTATAATGATTAAGATAAATTCAACATGTAACATCAATAAATACGATAATATGCAGAAAAACTCGATTTTAACAAAGATGAAGCAGTTTAAGTTAATGCTTTCTATATATATCACAATCAGCATGTGATGCATGATCGGCGATGATGAAGGTAGTAAGATATAATTCGTTGGATAAATACTTTAGTACTTACAAATCGTAGACGTAAGGATAAGGTGCTGAACCATAAACAGGATCAAAATCAATCTCGGATTTCTCTTGTAGATGTGCACGTTGATTTGGATTGATGATTTCAAGATTCAACTTTCCACGATTATTGGTAACAAAACATGAAGTCCCATCAATCCACATAACACCCCATTGAAATACGGTAAAAAGCAGCTTAATTTCTGTCTTGCAACTATGCATCATTATTGCCGAGGTTTCCTGTTTATCATTTGTATATTCGATATCGAAATAGCCTCGATTTATTTGTTTTCGAATTATTTTTCCGTTTGTTACTAAGTTGCCAAAAAGGTCGAATGAATACGATAAGTGATTAAGACGTTGTGCTCGACTGACAACGAATTCATCTTTGATTCTGGTTAGTGTCATTCTTATCGATTGATTCCGGTGGATTTGATACAACTCTGTCTCATTCAAATCGTTGGCCGCATGAATTGTCATTTTATTATAAAAAAATATGTTACGTCTATAATATTTTTTTATTATGAACGCTTTGACCAGTGTTTCATTGCGATGAATAATTTTTGGAGATTTATCAAAAACTTCTTCTATTTCTTTACGATAATATATACCAGCACCGATTGCCAATAGAAAAACAAAAAGTATAATAACACACGTTTTACAACCATCAGACGCCATAATTTGTGTTTGACCGGCAACACAGAAACCTTGTTTAGAACTGAAATGATAGGAATAGTTTAGTAAGTCTTTGCTTCTTTTATCTGACGACATTTTTTTCTATTCTTCTTATCTTCACAGAAAAAAAAACAAGAAACAGTTGTCATTAGTGTTCTTTAGCAAAATAAAAAAGGAAGAGAGAATACAGGCTCTTCGTTAATGGTGAATAAAAATGATTATAAATCGTCAAATATCTTCGACGTATTGACCTTATATTTTCATCGTAAATACCAGAGCTGGAAAAATCCTGGAAAAACACATGTTAGGATCTCATTTCAAACAAGATCCCACATCTTCTTGTGATGTGCTTTCGTTTTTATGTTTCGTTTTTATTCTTTCTCCTTCCATTTGATTCTGTTCGTCTTCGCCTCTGTCGAATAGAATGTATCATTTTTATGCTGACTTTCGTCGCAACTAGAAGAATGGAAAGGAAACGCGAGTGTTAAATTTGTTAAGAATGAATCAGGCTAACGTCAAGTAAAAATAAACGAGAATCACGTCAAGCCATGAAAGGATGTTTCTCCTATTTTCTCTTTAAAAACTAATCCGCTCTTTAAGATTCCAGCAAAATTCATTTGAACAGGGAATGAAAGCTGACAAATAATTGCATTTGAAGTATATTCTTTGCTTGTTTCTAACGAAGGATACAGCAACTACTGAAAAAGTATAATATATTCAGACTGGCTTAATCGGATAAGTTTCAGAAGAAGAGACGAATCTGGAAGGCAAGCTTTCTAGTTCATGTACTGACCGTTCAGTACTGAAATACTGGCAAAATTTGTGCCAAAACTGATCTAGTACCCATGCAGACAGATAAACAGCAAAATGCCGTTTTCACGCGTTAATGGTAAGAATTGAAGAAAACAACGCTATAAAACTCGTTGACTACACAAACTCAAGAAATAAACGCGTGGAAACACTTTTTTTTAAAGTTTAACGCATTTAAACGGATTTAACTAAGATATTAGATTAATGAACATGTTTTAACGTACTTATATACAAAAATATACAGAAGTTAATGCGTTTTAACATAGATATATCATATGTTTTAATAAAGTAGAATAGAGAAAAATTAATTGGAAAGAAGCTGCTTGTTAAGACTCATTAATATAACATTCTATCCAAAGTATACTAAAAGTAAAGCCAACAACTGTCTATTTATTAGGACTAAGTGCTCCCACTTCGATTAGGATACTGAAAAAAAAACATGGATTTATGAACAGAAGGAAATTTAACATCAGTTCCGGGTCGAAAAGCAAGTTTTTGAACGATTGATTGTAAATTAGTTATTTCAATTGTTGTTCTATGATATGTTCCATACAGTACATTAGTACATCTATATATTCGACCATGTATTGACATAGAGTCTGCTGTTGAAATTAAACTGACCGGTCGAATAATCAGAACTGGTTCATGATCATTACCAAAGGAAATAATTGTTTCTAAGAAACCAATTGCTGGTAAATTATTTTTCTTGTACATTAAGCATCCGTCATGTGTCCGATGAAAAATATCAACACGATCAGATGAAAATCGCTGTTGCTCATAAAAAGTTGTTTTAAATAGATTGTATGTTCGTTGAGCAGTGTATTTAATCACGAAGCTTTTAACATCAGGAGCCAATGAACCCAGATGAACCTTTGTGTGAAGTCGAACTGTGTTTTGATTTCGGTAAGACACTCTTGAAGGAATTGCGTATCTCAGACTAGCATTAATCATTTGATCAAATATTTTCAGCTCAGATGGCAGCGATGGATCAGATGTGGCTAGCCATGTTTGTTGTAATAGATCTAAGCTGTTTAGTAATTCTACTGTTGGAGCATTTCCATTATGAATTAATCGAGTCAATGAGGCTATATTAAAATTTAAAAAATTAGAATACAAATATACAGTTTGTTCCTCTGCAAGCAGAAAAGTATTTCTAAAAACGCATTTAAACGAGATCAGGATTAAGGCGCTAAACGGAATTGCGATTGGGACATTTAAACAGAATCGCAAATAGACAGTTTAAACACATTTCTGAAAAGTATTTTCTGCTTGTATCATCAATTTTATTTCAAGTTTTCTTCTAAAATTCTTTAACTTTATCTAAAACACACAAAATATTAAATCTACTCACCAATCGTGGATTCAAATTCAAAAGTGGAGTATCGAAATGCAGGTCCATAATTTTTAATGCTATTTGCAAAATGATTTAAGGCGTGAATGACAGGCTTTGCTTGTTGCTTCTACAACAATAATAATAACGGATGAAAATTTACTGTCAGGGCCAATTCAATTTTGGATCTAAACTTAGAAGCGAAAGAAACTACAAATATAAATACCGTATACAAAGATTCGAATTTTCTATTGAATTCTTCTAGCAGATTTTGTACATCCTGATGGGTAGAAAGATCAATTTTTGATGATTCGATGAGATGAGATGAGAATGCTAAACAGCGGAAGTGATCGTATCTTTCTCTATCCAACACTTGATCGAATGCACTGTAGATGAAAAAAATATAGTAGCATAATCTTTGATAAACTGTTCATGACACACTTATAGCCGAATAGTAATACCATTTTATACTCATTTGCCTTATATACATGGTATTGCTTCAAGTCTCGTGGAATCCGATATGTAGTCGATGGATATGAGATACTTTTAAGTATTGCTGATACAGCATCAACAGCACCTCGGATACTCATTTCTCGAGTGATTCCAGTTTTCAGCGAAACATTGTCAAAAAAAATGTGCAACATTCGAGCCTAAATATGTTTTAATTTTAGTACAAGTGTGATTTGCATAGAGTTCAATTTTTACCATTGCACCTTCATAAAGTGTATGAAGTGTATCAGATAAGAAAGATTGATAAACATCGAAGTATTTTAATTCTCGAAGAATGCATGGACCACGCAACCCTTCTAAACCACTATTAATAGATGTGATCGAAGCACGTTTTTGTTTTGTCGAATATTTCTACAAAACAATCCAAATGAAGTGTCTGGATAAATAATGAAACTATCTAAAATATTCTTTCTTACCTGTAATAGCGTTAAAGCAGCATCATATGTGTCGTTGGATCGTAATTCAATATCATCATTGTTACTATTCACAAAAACTCGAGCATTACCAGCACCTATTTTGACATTTTCACCTTAAAAGACAGAATTTTTTACCCTATGAATACTCAGGACGAAACGTATATGAAAGAAGCATCATTTGAACAGTATGACTCTTCAGTGTTAAAACAGAGTGTTATATCCCAAAAATCTCTTTAAACGAGTTAAAATAGTTTTGTTGTTTAACACATTTTCGTTGAATTGAAGTTGCAATCGTATCAGAAAAATCTACTTCTACATATTACATTTTAAATTTTTTTCACTCAAATAATTTACATTTTACTAATTTAAATATGACACACCTATTATTTTACAACTGGTGCAGCCATAATAACCGCCAGCTTCAGTATGATTGATAAGTAAACTTGCAGCTGGTTTATCGCATGTCGCTGCTATGACGAATACACGAGCAATTTGATCAACATAGTCAGGTGAATTAAAAGGTGTATATCGAAGACCAACTCGTTCCAGATGTACCAGCTCTTTTACAAGATGTTTCAAGAGTAATTGCATCTCATCCTTCTTGGGTTTCACGGAACCCATGGACAGCATTCCAATTATGATATTTTCGCGTTTGAAACGAACCGAAGGTGATAGCTCATTGATTACAAATGTTGTAATCCACACTGACCGAGATATAGATTTAACAACAGCTCCATCTGAATTCATCAAAAGTGTGATTATTGGACCTGATTCATCATTAATAATTTTTCGATACAATGGAGCATCAATCGTATCATGAATTACATTTTTATCTTTATTTGGTTTTGTAAGATGATTTCTTTCGATTATCGATCGAATTTGAGGTTCTACGCGAAGAACGTGATTGATAGTTGGATTGGTGACAAATTTGTCCTTATTAATACAATCGATTGTTGTTGAACATCGTATAGGATCAGTCGACATTTTATGACATGATGAACAAGTAATCAATGCATCTCCAAAAATACTTGATTTGTTCTGGCTGCATATGAGAGAGCGAACATGACGAAAATCAGATGGAGAATTCGGAACCCGTAAGAGTTTCAACAGTCTACACATGTTTGATACACAGGTATTTGTGAGTGAATGGCGTGATTTAAGTAACAAGAGGGCGATTGCAATTTCTGTTAGTGTAAGATTACGATTTATATAATCCTTGTCTATATCAAATAACGATTCTTCCTCATCATTATCGTCGGTTATTTCTTCATTAACAGAACCTTGATCCGAATTGTCATCATAAACATATTCGTTTGGGTCGTCATCAGAAATCGAATTTGTTGCTACATCTTCAATATTCTTTTCCTCTACCAAATCATACAATATGAAAACGGTACTATTCGCTTCAAATACACTTTACCATTTGCAAGTGATCCAGTATTGTTGTTCATTGATGTAACGTTTGTTTGTAGATCTGCTAAATCCAATGATGTTGATGCACTGATTGATAAATTGCTAACAGTATGATCAATTTCAATTGAAGAGAACGACTGTAAAGCTTGTGTAACCTCGGTTCCATGATTTGAGTCAGCTACTTGACTAAATGTTTTATCAATAACAAAGAAAAGATACTGTTTCTGAATAATTCATTTCATACCATAAGTTTACAACTACTGTTTCCAAAACCATTTGTCTTTGAATTCGAGCAATTCGGCGATTGTTTCTTCTTTGTGAAGAACGACGTAGTGTATCGATATTTCTTCGTGTGCTATGCATATTATCTGTTACGAAAATATTCATGTATTATGCGTTTAAAAGACTAATGCTTGAAAAAATAGCTTTTCATGCTAGAGAATTCGTAAAGCATTAGTAAAATCCTATGACGCATTTCCTAAAATCTATTTGACAATAGAACACAAGATTAGTATAACTTCAGGAGCTCTTAGTATTTTATTAATGATTATTAGTAATAAGTGCAGGAGTAATTTATGCTCTCTGCTTTTCATTTATTCTACTTCTTGAATTACAAAAAAAAACACAATTATAAATAATAAATAACATATGCAATTCAACAAATATAAAAAAAATATAATAAGATAAAATCGTGTTTTAGTGAGAGCAGATAACTTAGATTTTCTTGTCAAAAGTTCATAAGATAACAAATAATATATTCGTATTATTTACATCAGTTATAGAAAAAACTTATATCATAAACAAGATCACATTAAAAAAACATGTATGAACCTATACACTACCAAAAACGTGAAAATACGCAAATGAAAGAGTTCACATAGTGCACAAAATTCAAACCAAATTAAAGCAATAGTGAAAAAAACAATAACAAAATTACATTGTCTATATACATATTTATACTAACCCCATATTCGCATTTTATCTTCACTCTTCTGTTTTATTAAATAGATTCATCGATGTCCATAACATTTGTATCACTTTCATCATCGTGGTTAACATTTTGATTCATGTTTCTTCGAGAACCAGTTTGATCATCATTGTGGTTCTCCAATAAATACAGAACATTAGCAATACCACGATTTGCTTTTCGTTGTTGATATCGAGCTCCTCTAATACAACTGCTTAAGGCTTCCCGAACATCTTCCATCTTGTATCTGACGCCAGGTGCAGCGCGTTGAGCAAAAACTAAATGAGATAAGTATTTAGTTTAAAATTAAAAAAAGAATATAGTTTACCCAATATTGATTCAACCAGACCAGGTTTCAATAACTCCAGCTTGGCAATCGAGTCTAATTCAATTTTGGTAGAATAACCCGGATAAAGGTGGTTAAATACATTAAGTGCCGTTTGTTGAGGAGTTGAATGCTTTAAACTCATCAAAATAATTTGATTGACACCTAAATCCCTAGCCAGTTGTTCATCAGTTCGAGAATCACTCTGACCACTGGATCGTTGAATCTGTGTCACTAAATCAAGTAGATAATTTAAGGCACTTGCCGGTGGCCGAGCTGTAAAGCATAAAAAAGTGAAACTGTTTAAGAAAAAGCGTAGATAACTTACGAAAAGAATTCTCTTGCAGTTGTTTATATTTTCGTTTAAGGCGAGCAAAATCACGCATCCATGTTTCAGCTGATTGTCGTTCAGTGTTATAGGCTTTTACTAATTGTCGAAATTCAATAAATCGAGACAATATTTCATACGTTTCGGATGATATAGAATCCATGGAAAATGAATTGTTGGATCCCGTTGCAGCATGATTATTAGCTTGTTGATTACGAGATGGACGTCGTGGAGCTGGTGTTCGACGATTGAAGGCATTTTCTTCATTTGAACTTCGTGGAGACCTATCTACTGAAACAACAATTGATTGACTTGGTGTCTGTGAATAAGTATTGGATACGTTTCTATCATGATTTGGTGTGTGTGAATAAGCATTGGATGTGTTTGTGTCAACAGCAACTGCTCTAAAAGAGAAAGAAAAAATAGAACTTCTAATAAATATAGTTTAAAAACCTGTTGACATTCGTTTTGTTGTTATTCGTCGAAATTTCTTGTTCATCACTATTTGTAGAATAATCCGTAGTAACATAGGAATTTGCAACATTGTTTGACAATTTATTTTTGGATTTTTTATTCCCGAGTGGTGTACGTGATGAATTGAATGTTTCATTTGATCGTTTTTGTTCTTCAACATTGGATTCACGGACTTGTGAATATACTGTTTCTTCCGTTGTATCAATTATAAGTGGACGTGGTGAATTTGGTGGACCGTGTAGATTATCAAATGCATCAAAAGCAACAGGTTGTAACATACTATATGTACGTTGATCGACTAAAAAAAGAGAAATTAAAAGAAACAAATAACTAGGTTTTACTTGATGAATTTGTTATCATTTCGTCGGATGCCAAAGCAGCGCCTCGCTCATTGAACGATTGTTTTTCTTTATTTAAGGTTCGTTTAGTACCAGCTCGTTTAACACCAACTCGTTGACCTAAAGATTTTAATTGACTTCTATGATAAAAACAAATTCTTTTACCATTATTTTTTTGTATTGAGGATATTGACATTGATTTTTTTGTCGTATCTTCTTCGTTCATAACTGTACGTGATCGTGTATTTCGTTTTCCAATCGGTGACATTATAACCTGGCCTTGTATATGATTCAGATATAACTTTCTAAAATAATCCGATAATTAATGTAGAATGCAGATACAATACGAAAATACAGATAAGAGGAGGTGTACAGATATACGTACGTTGTTCTCGGCGAATATCAAAATAATAATGTAAATAATCCTCCTTCCTAGTGTATTTATATCCTGTCGTCTATGGATAAATAAGAATAAAGACATGATGAAATTTATCTAGGGCAACCAAGCGAACATTAACAGATAATTTATTCAGCCTTTGAACAAAATAGGCGAACGATATTTTATTACACGTCGAACACAAGACAATAGTCAGCACCATAGCCGGCGCATAATAAATGTGCATAAATAAATAGCCAAGTGCATTTTAATCTTTCAATTTGAGGACATTTTCTTAGTCAACATAACTTAGTCCTTGTTCTTTATCTTGTAGCCGATTTCAATTGGATTAAAATACAATAAACACTAATAAAAAACTTTAAGTAACAATTACCTAGCGCAGAGATGATTTTACACTCGAGAAACATTTCAATTAGCTGTTTATTTTCACAACTCTCTTCTTCTCTGCACCATATGTAAAAGATGTCGCTAGCCCATAGTCGTGTATTAATCGTGTTTCTCCATGCCTTCGTATCATTGGCAGGAACAATTGTTCGTTGTTTCTCTCTCTTTGTTTCTCTCTCTCAATAGTACGTAGGAAATACTTTTATCGTACACACATTTTTATGATAGACGTGATGAGAGAATGCTCACAACATAACTGATGAGATTTATTTCCTGGAAAAATTTTTCAAAATAACTTATAAAAAAAACTTAATCGGAATATACAGCATAGAATTTTCTTTTTTGCTCGTTGCAAGAATTTTCAACATGAATGAAGCAAAGAATTTTTTATTTATTGAACAATCGAATTTTTTTACTTGTTGAAACAATCTTCAACATGAATGAAACAAATTATTTTTTATTTATTGAATAATCGAATTTCTTTTTACTTGTTGAAACAATTTTCAACATGAATGAAGCAAAGAATTTTTTAGTTATTGAACTCTCGATTTTTTTTTACTTGTTGAAACAATCTTCAACGTGAATGAAGTAAAGAATTTTTTATTTATTGAATAATCGAATTTCTTTTTACTTGTTGAAGTAATCTTCAACATGAATGAAATGAATAATTTTTTAGTTGTTCAACAATCGAATTTCTTTTTACTTGTTGAAACAATTTTCAACATGAATGAAGCAAAGAATTTTTTATTTATTGAACTCTCGATTTTTTTTACTTGTTGAAACAATCTTCAACGTGAATGAAACGAATAATTTTTGAGTTGTTTAACAATCGAATTTCTTTTTACTTGTTGAAACAATTTTCAACATGAATGAAGCAAAGAATTTTTTATTTATTGAATAATCGAATTTCTTTTTACTTGTTGAAGTAATCTTCAACATGAATGAAATGAATAATTCTTTAGTTGTTCAACAATCGAATTTCTTTTACTTGTTGAAACAATATTCAACATGAATGAAACAGAATTTTTTATTTATTGAACAATCGAATTTCTTTTTACTTTTTGAAGCAATCTTCAACATGAATGAAACGAATAATTTTTTAGTTGTATAAAAATCGAATTTTTTTTTACTTGTTGAAACAATCTTCAACGTGAATGAAGCAAAGAATTTTTTAGTTATTGAACTCTCGATTTTTTTTACTTGTTGAAACAATCTTCAACGTGAATGAAACGAATAATTTTTGAGTTGTTTAACAATCGAATTTCTTTTTACTTGTTGAAAGAATTTTCAACATGAATGAAGGGAAGAATTTTTTTTTTATTGAATAATCGAATTTCTTTTTACTTGCTGAAGCAATCTTCAACATGAATGAAATGAATAATTTTTTAGTTGTTCAACAATCGAATTTCTTTTTACTTGTTGAAACAATTTTCAACATGAATGAAGCAAAGAATTTTTTATTTATTGAACAATCGAATTTGTGTTTACTTGTTGAAGCAATCCTCAACATGAATGAAAGGAAGAATTTTTTAGTTATTGAAGCGTCGAATTTTTTTTGCTTGTTGAATCGTAATGTGAGTCAAGCGCAGAATTGTTTAAATAATGACAGAATCGAATTGGCTTCTTCTCGATGCTGAAAGAAATTTGAGGTTGTGACTTCGAATTAAAATTTAAAAAAACGAACGGAATGAAAACGGTTTTTACTGCATGTTGATAGGGTTGTCACAGGTCGAAATAAATCCAAGATTTTTTATGAGTGAATCGAGTGAATTCGTCTGATAATAGGCACTAATGAGTAAACTGAAAACATGTTTTTTGAACATATCAACAGAATTTTTTGATGAATCGGAAACTTTTTACGTTTTAGGAGTTATCGATAATTTTGCCATTCCTTATTTTCAGATTTAAAGATAGCAAATTGTACTAGAATAAGATTGATCAGCTATTGGAATATAATGTTTATCGACATAGGTTATGCAATCGCAAATGTGTTCATTATTGATTTTGCACCAATAGAATATTGTACAGTGAGAAATCAGAGACAGAGAATTCTTTTAAATATAAGTCTAGCCGCCAGAGTAGTAGGAATTAGCGAGTGAATAATTGAATTTATGAGTGCTGCAAAATACATTCAAATTTCTTTCGAAATTAAGAAGTGCCTATTTTTATTGCAAGTCGTCGGTGTATATTCTCACAATCACGAGAAAAATAATAAGTGAAAAAGAATGCTAGTAGATATACTTTTTTCAGCTATCATTTGTCTCATGATTGTGATAGCATACAACGAAGACTTGCAATAAAAATAGGTACTTCTAAATTTTGAAAGAAATTTGAATGCATTTTGGAGTACTCATAAACTCAATTATTGATGCGTTAAAATTTGAATTCCCAATGTATTTTAAGTAGTTGAAAGTGTCCGAAATTACGAGTTTTAATGCGTTTATTTCATATACGCCGGACAACGGTCGAAGTTCTCTAGCATTTAAATGTTTTTCTGCAACACATTTAAACTTTCAACAAATGTCCGATTTTTCACGTTTTAATGCGTTTACTTAACCACCGGGGTTAAACGTTTGTGTTTCCACTCCGTACAACGAGTTTAAAGTCGAAATTAATTCAACTGTTAAAACGCAAAAATTCGGACATTTGTTGAAAGTTAAAATTCGTTAAAATAAAATAAAATAACGTTCGTTATAACGCGTTATTTGCTTATTTTTGACTGCTAGGGTAGTATACAGTTCTAATTTGGAAATAATACTGAGTCAGAATACAGTACTGAAAAAGTACTGCTAAATATCAGAGCAGTATTAAAAAACTTATTTATTACTGAATTCAGTTCTGTAGGATTTTTTGATATCGTAGTAAGAACTATTTTCAGTGTGAGTATGGATGTCCGTCTGAGAAGAATATTCATACCCAAACCCACACTCACCCTTTTCCGAACATCCTAACAAAAATTCCTAACGGTTACCTATCAAAATCTTTGAATTTGACATAGATTGTTGCCAAGTGTCCAACTCCGATTAGTAAAAGTCACAGAGCTCTGGCAACTTGCGTTCCGGAGTCGTTCAACTTCTTCACGCATATTCTGTTTTAACAACGACTTTACAAATTCGTACACCTGTCACAATTTTCTAGCTCTATAGATTTGTTTTTCTTGGAAATTTGACAAACACGACAGTTAGACTGATTGCATACTGTTTGGTGACTCAAAAAGAGAAAAATTATACTTTTTTTATTTTTAATATTTTTCTTGTTGCTTGAACTCGTCCAGACAGATTTTGTTACTAAAAGATCTCTCATTCAATTCTCTACAAAAAAATTGTATTTCTAGTTTGATTTTAGACTTCGAGCGTTGAAAATATTATGAGACATTATAACTAGTGCCAAAATGAGAGAGAAAGAAATTAAAGTGGTCATTGCGTAGGTCTATAAAAACCCTATCTTCCGTCTACCATTTTAAAAATTTTCAGTTAGAATTGAGGGCGTAAGAAGTTTATTATTTTTTCCAGTTTTTCGAAAAATTATCGCTTGCTAATCAATACTTCAAATCTCATGATAAAACAAATGAAGTTTAGTCAAATTTTAATCCATTCAGACGGATTTCTTCATATATTTTGAAAAAACAATGTTTAATTGTTATGGTAGGATCTATGAGAAAGAGGTACAAATCTTTTTACCTTTTGCTTTTTTTCGCCATAAAGATAAATTTTGCATTGAATGATTAGATTCAAATGATTTGCTCTCTACCGTTTAGGATGTGATAGATCGTCTTTGAAACTACAGAAAACATACTTAATCCGTGCTCTGACAATTGGGAAATCATTCGAAAAAGTACAGCTTTATTTAAGAAAATGGAATTCATTTTTTCTTCATTTAGGTATTGATCATCATTTCTCATGCCATTTTTAACGTTTCGATTTTGAAATAAAACTGTTCATACATTTTTTGTAGACTATTCAAAGGAGAATCTTCTAGTAAAACAATCAGTTCGATCCAGTTCAATGAGCAAGAGAAAGATTAAAATTATCAACAGTATAATTTATTTCAGCTCACCCGATATATACGTCATGTATGATGATATAAAATTTTGTTTAAACCTTTAAAAAATCACTTAATTAGCTCGAAATTCAATGAAACTTGTAGGAAACAATGGATGCAAAACAAAAAAGGTAGAATTTTCTCTCTAATCTACTTCTTTTGCTGACAGACGTCAGAAATGTGTTTAAGATCTGAACTAAAGTGTTGCGTGTGGGCGTGTTCCTAAGATCCCCAATCCTAACGATACCCACACCAGTTGAGATCCTAACATTGGATTTTTGAATCTGATTGGCAAGTTAACATCTTACAACATGTGTTTGAGGATCTAAGTGTAGGTCTTTTCACTCACATTAACAACGACACCCTCATTCATATCTTAATGTTTTTAGAAGAATTTTATTCAATAAGAACGAGGCCGAGTGCAATGAACAGTGTAAATTTTGTCAATATGAAAGGCTTTTACAAAGGAAATTTATATCTCATGATTTTCAACTTTTTTGATACGGTAAAAACGCGAGTCGCAGCACAGTTGTATGCTATTTGCCTTGGAACGGTTAAAAATATTCAAATTGGATTAATTTGTTTTACTATCGTTGAATGTTTAGTCTGTGTAGAATTCTTTTTTATTTAGTGTATTCAATATAAGTACCGAATAATCGATCAAAATTAACCAATCCGGAGCCATAATTACATTCAAATTTCGCATGATGAAGATAATGAAAACTTGAATCACCACCAGGATAAGCATATCCATCATGACCACTTATTGGTGCTATATCAGCATGAAATTTTGCGTAAAGAAAATGCAATGGATGACATGAAAATAATAATGGAAAATATGTGCATGTATAGTAGATTAAATGCTCAACTGGATGCATTGATAGTCCACTCCATGGACCTGGATTATAACTTTTATGATGAAGACTATGAAAATATCGATAAAGAAATGCTCCAATATCACCATCTTTTAAACCATACTTTATATTCCACCACGGATGTATTATACGATGACTCCAATAAAAATGAAATTGTCTCCAATATGTGATTAACAAAAGTAGGCCAATAGAGTAGAATGGATACTTCCAAAAGTCTGTATAAAATTTTACTCGTCCACTCGACCATAACCACATCATTATACATTGAACCATAGCTGAGTGTAAGCAACCGAGCGTACTCAGTATTATTTCATTATGAAGACGATTATTCTTACCATCACGAGATTCATACTGATTAATTGGATTGAACTTTTTTTCTTTAAATTTGCCTTGACAATAAATACTAACATAGGTTAGCCAATGCCAGAAACCACATACAATAAACTGACATATCAGATTAAATGAAACAACGATGAATATCCAATTAAACTGCCATTCATTTGCCTGTGGAAATGTTTTTGGAAACACAATGAGCCAACAAAGAAGTGCAACACTGAATTCAAGTGCATGCGACATATGGCAACCAATCAAATATTTATAACACGATTGTTTCCATTGAGGCCATTGATTGTAATTATGAAATAAAATTGCAGGACTGTATTTCTGACCATGATATAATCGATAAATATCAATTACATTACGTATACCGAGTCCCATAACGAAGCAATACTACAATCTTAAAGTATATCAATAAACCATTTATTATTGAAGATGAAATGATCGTAAAATGTAAAAGATCCTTAGTTTCAGACCTCTTGTCAAAGTTCTATTCCATCGGAACTCGCTGTCTCTCGGCAGCTTGACATATCAGTTTTCATTATCGAAATTACCGTATAAGGAGTAATCGAGACACTTATCGACAGAGTTAGCGAGGAAGTTCTACACATGATTGTGTAAAAGATTCTTCAGAAAGTTTTCTAAAGACTTATCTAAGGGTTTGCCACTGTCTAATTGAGTCTTTTAAGTATTATGTACAGAGTTTGTGAGAGAGTTGTCTAGAGATTCATCTTGAGAATCTTTCAAAGAATAAAATATGGTGCAAAAGTTTTAGAAAAAAAGATAACACTCTATTTGATAGTATCGTCGAGTTTTGTACTAGGCAAATTCTTACAATAGGAATATGAAAAGCACAAACAGCTAAACAGCAATATGTTTGAAAAAGTCCCGACATTTTTTTGGAATTAGAAAAGTTGTATTTTTGAAATAGTTATGTTGCGTGGACAATTTTCGATATAAAGAGATAACGTGTAAAAATTTTATTGATATCAGTTTCACTGAAACTTTTCAGATTCTCTATGGTATCGTCAATCAAAATGTTTGAAAAAATTTTCAACTTAAACTTGTTTTTAGGACAACTAGCGTTTCATTTATATTCGCTGGACTCATTGCTGAAGGAATAGGTTATGCATGCCTTGATAGTTTCCACGTATCAACGTAAAGAAAAATGTGTTACAGTTGAAATGAATATTTCAATCCGTCGAGAAACTGAATCAGAACTGTTCAGTACGCTTTGCACCTATCCTTATCATCCATACAAAATAAGGTTCAAAGAATCCTGTTTTGTAGAGAATTTCATGTAGATTCTGAATATGACTATTTCAGGTGTCCTCGTTGAGAACTGAAAAGAATGTAGCACATATATTCTCTATGCTATTAAGTAACTGAAATAGTGTTCACCAACCGGAGAAAGCCAAACTACAAACATTGTATTTTATGTTCCTTGTAATTCTCAATAAGATTACCCAACATATTTATCAGAGATCGAGACGAATAAGAAAATCCTGGTTCGGATTCGATTCGATTCAAATTGAGCAAAATTTTATACAAAAGCTGTCTATCAAGAGAGAATTTAAGTAGCAATGAGAAGCTGTAGCTTGAATTATGATATGAGCACGATCAGAATGAACGTCTGCTCTGTCTGATTACCAATGACATGGGTTTCTAATCTGAGTCAATTTGCGCTACATCAATCCTCCTCTTCATATAACAAGACATACATATCCAGGATATGAGTGTGCTAACTCGATATTGTTTTGAGTTGGTTCATGTTTGCACTCCAATCTGAGTTCCAGTCAGAAATCCATGGTCTTGATTGGGCGAGCTCCGTAGCTTCAGGGTAAGAACATATTGATCTTTAGTCCCCAACAGAACTTTTCACGAAAACTATTAGCTGTTGGAATTACTTGTTAGCTTATGAATTGCAAACATACTCACTCTTGTTGAATAATGAAAGTGTATTTTTTGCGTTGATGAGAATTAGAAAAAAAAAAAGGAAAGATAACAATCTCATGAAGTCATTTTATTATTGATGTTGCACAGAGGAAGATAGACACAGGTATCACGATTCGCATGTGAAGGAAGATAAGAAAGAGAGAAAGGCTCACTCGTTATCTCAAAGCGCAAAAGAATATGCCAAAGAGTGAAGATGAATCGTATGTGTGAATCCTGAATGGCTATGATGATAATAATGATACAATTGTATTGAAGTCCATTGACGTAGTTCTTTTATTGCACCATGTTGAAGTAGTCACCCAAAATTGAAGACCGCATATTTCTCCAAAATTTCAATGATGATCTCTTTATTGGAGTCTTCTCTCTATGCTGGATTTTTTCTAAACTTGAATTCCCTCACAAACATAAAAGACAGTGCACTGTCAAATCCTACTTTTTACCATTTCCGGTGCCATAATTTTTGAATGCAACAACTGATCAAGCTGAAACTTTGTGTGTGAAAGTGTTGAAGCTAGGAATAGCACATTTACTCAGGGCTGGTTCGACGTATCCAAGATTAGGGGGAGTGAGGTTGAAATTGTTTTCTCAACCAGATATAATCTTGATTTGTCTCTCATATTCGAAGATGCAATAAATTTTCGCGAAGCGAAAACGTTTTTGAAACATTTTTGGAAAATCCTACTTTGTTTAGTAAGTTTTTGAAAAACAAAATGCCCTTGTATCTAATTTAAGAAGACTTTTGAATCTTTTTTTTCCACCGAAGGCGACCACGCTGGCGGTGACAGTTTGAGAATTAAGTTCTGCAGAGAGTGAAAAACAGTAAAATCGCGGTAAAAACAAAAAATCACAGACTGTTTAGGTCGACAGCGTTCATCTGCTCAGGTAGACAGAGATCTAATAAAAGCGCCTTTTTTGAACAAAAGCCGCCAACCTGCTAAGTTTTTTTTGTGGAGATTAGTTTTGACGACACTTTCGATAAAAACACCAGCTTTTGTTGACACCCTGTGACGTTTTTTCATGGTCGTTACGAAATTTTCTTCTAAAAAGTCGGAATTAGCGAGAAAATGTTAGGGAAAAGTGCTGTTTTAACCAAAAATTCCGGCAAAATGGATCTCGACAAAAAACGCTGAGTAGTTTGTTTCCTTTGTTCAAGAAGGACAGTTTTTTTCGGGCCTTTTGTCTGCCTGGATGGTTGTTACATTGTCGCAAAGCGAAAAACATGGTTTCTTTCATAATAAAAAGTAAAGAATAATTTTTTCCTTATTATTCTACCAAAATGTTCATTATGATATTCTGCATTTATGGCATTGGCGGTTATGTGCAGTTTTCCCATTAAACTATATAATGAATTTTCCAAAAAAAATTCAGTTGCTTAATAGAATTGCTCTAGATTCGATATCCAATTGCAGAAAACAATTTTCTAGAATATTAACCCTTTAATGGCCGATGGTACAGATACGTATCACTTTTTGTTTTCGATTACAGAACTATAATGAGCTAGGATCAATGACTCTGGCAGAAAGAACAATAATACTACAATAGCCTCGTCGCTTATATGTGGATGTGAATATTTTATTCATACTCAAGAAAACTCACACCCTCGTGCATGATAATCTAGACTGTAGTCTATTTTGGCTGCATCATCAGCACCCACAGAACTTAACCGTCTAAAACTCACTCGTTAAAGGATTAATTTATCAATCTGTTTAGGTTGCTGGATGCTTAGATTGAGAATAGTAACTTCGATTATCCGAGGAGAAAGCGACTTTAGCTTGAAAGTAGACGCTTTCAAGTGTCACCGTTCGACGAATAAATAGATAGTAGAAGCCGCAGGTTCGCCAGTTGCATCAGACACTGACGGAACAGAACGAGGAACAGACGGAATTGAATGCTTCTCTCGACAATAATTAGAAAGACGAAAAAAATCATTACTTTTGTGCATCACCACGACGATCAAATCCGCCTGAAAGAGAGTAAAACCTAGTGGTGGGTACTTCTTCACGACATATGCACTACTTATCATCGCAAACGTAATTCAATCACACACAAGACTACATGCAGATGAGGACATGTATGTATGGTATCATGACTAAGTACCGTCTTGGTCGCACATGGGTTGGATATTGAACAGAGTTAATCATCACTGTTCTTCGCCATTTTCTCTACCTATCTCATTCTCATCAAACACTGCACTCTCCTGTCTTTACGTCCTTGACACCCAGAATTACTTCAACTCAGATGGTATTCTCTTGTTCTATCTTTCGAACAGACATTTATTGCTATGATAAGCACTATTCACGTATGAAGTGAATGAGTGTGTGTGCAATGCTGAATTTTACTCCGGAAAAATTTTGACGGGATGTGAGAAAGTCGCTAGATGGTTCCCAAAGATGCGTAGCGGGACCAATTTCCCTGTCCCATCAGTATACTAAATTAACTTACAATTGTTATTCATGTGAGGTTCAAGTAGAAGTTTCTTTGAGTTCAATAAATGAGTACGAGCACATTCGTAATAGATCTCAACGCGTTCGACGAAGAAGACGCCGAGGATAGCACAAAGAGTAGTGGTGAAACGCATGCTGAAACTGAAATAATAGAAAGATGTCCTATTGGCGTGCAAATGCAGAAAGAATGAACATCACTTAACTCTTCTACAAATGGTGAGTAGAGGAAAAATAAAACGGAGAATAGTTTGTCAAGCAACACCAAACATAGAGAGGGTGTGAGTGTAGTTCATACAAGAGAGAAAAAGCGAGGCTTGAAGAGTGCGTACTTCACTCGTACTTCAAAAACCTGAAGTCTCGTTTTATCCTGCTTGAAGAGTATTCACGAAATGTAGCCTCTTTCGGCGCCATCATAGTCGTCATTGAACCAATGCTCATAATATTCCCGTCTAAATCAATATCAATAATCAGTACATCATCAAATCACGTATGAAGATGTGATAAGACGGATACTTTTTATATATTGAAGAATATCTGAGACATTCATAATACCTTAAAACATTTGAAATACTTAGTTCTCAAGTTACAATGTATATATCTGATCGTTAGATTCTAGAGCAAAAAGTGATAATGCGCTCGATCTGATACGTTAAACGAACTCCTAGGTAGTTACATAGTTAACTGTTTTATTTTGCCATAAGAATTCTTCTTTTAGAATTGTGATATTATTCTAAGGTTTTGTTCGACAATTGGTTTAAGTATAATAATACTATCATAACATTTCTGAAACAAAAATTGATTCAATTAGCATGCCTAAAAATATGAAAGATTTTCTTAGTTTTCTTCCATTTGATCATTTACAAAACTATTGAATAAAATGGTCAAGAGCATCATTATATTTTGTATACACACTGATATTTATGCAGAATAATAAATTTATGATTTTATTTTACACAAAAAAAGAACAATAGAGATTTTATT